AAGATAGACTGTGGTCTTCTCTCTCTAGAAAATCGTTCTAGTGTTTCTTTTTTGCCTCTTTAATGGCCCTTTAGTAGGTGTTTTGCGCTGCTAGAAAGTCCTTCTTATATAGGTAAGCTTCTTGCATAGAAGTCTCTTTTAGCTTTTGCGAGAATATCCTTTGGTAATAGGACACGTCTCTTCTTAGCTTAGTAAGCTCCTGGCTCCACCATAGCTTAGGCTTTGGTCCTTGCCTTAGCTGTGGGATAGCTTTATCTGTAGCTTGTTGTATTACTAGAGTAATTGCTTCTCCAATTGCTTCTAGTTGCAGCTTTAGCTGTTAGTCTTGGCCTAGGAGTAGATTTCTTGAGTCTGCTTTCCTTGGGCTATTGATCTAGTCTAGGCTCTGTAGTATTGCGTTGCCTTAGATTGCTATTGCTAGTTCTTCTTGAAATAGCAGCTAGTTAGCCCTTTTTGTGTTGTACTTTTGCTAGGCTGCTAGGTTGTCTACTAGTTCTGTTGTTGTTTAGATAGAGAAGAGCAGCCCGTAGTGGTCTGAGCCAGTTTCTGTAGTAACTTGCCAGTCTTTAACTTTGTTGGCTATGTCTGGCGTGGCAAGTGATAGGTCTAATACTAGCTCTCTTGATAGGTGCGGCCTAAAGAAGGTCCCAGCACCTAGGGTGTTGAGTAGGCTTAGGTTTTGGTCCTCTATCCAGTCGGCTAGCTCTTGAGCGCCTTGGCTAGTGGTTGGGCATAGCGGATCCCACTAGGGGTGATGCTCGTTAGCGTTAATAGCTAGTATTGTTGCTGCTAGTAGCCTAGTGCTTAGGAGGACTCTTAGGAACGTCTTAGTCCCTAGTAGACCTTTTTCGTTGTACACGTTTACAATATTAAATTTAAAGCTCTGCCCTTTAACAACTACTGCTATAGCGTCTAGGTCAGCTGCTAGTCCCTCTAGTAGAGATGTCTCTGCCTTTGCTGTTCTAGATATATAAAATAGAACCCTTAGGCGGAGACTGTTATCTGCTAGTAGGAGCAGCTAGGTAAATGCTTGGTGGGCAACTGACCTAGCTGCTGAGTAGTTGTTGTTGCTTAATAGGGCAATCCATGGCTCTTAGACTGCAATAATATCAACTTTAAGCTCAACTGCTAGTTGTAGCGTTGACTCTGTAGCGTGTAGGCTCTTGTTTAGGTTCACTTGTAGAATCTTAATGTTCTCTAACATAGAGATGGCTGCTGAGGGCCTTTCTTTGTTATAGCTAGAAAGATCTCGCAGTCTTTGCTATTAGCAAAGTGGGGCTTTTTGCAGTTGTAGCACTTAGGGAGAGTGTGTCTGCATAGCTTTCCTTTTATGCTGCAGCTTAAGCAGTTGTGCTAAGCAGTTATGTAGCTTTCTGCGCACAGCTGGCATGCTGCTTAGTTTTAGCACCTGCTTGCGTTGTGGCTAAAGGCTTGGCAGTTAGAGCACTGCGTTGTAGGTGGCGTGGACCTGTATTTCTCAGTTCAGAGAGACTGGCCTAGGATTGTAATCCTGCTACCTATCTTCTTAGCTTCCTCTTCTGTCTTAAAGGCAACTACTATAGAGCTAGTCTGCTTGCTCTTCTAGTTCTTTGTTAACTAGTAGGGGTTGCTAACAATAGTTTGTCCTTTGTTGTAGGTTGGGATCTCGTTGTGGAGGACCTAGAGCGATTTGGCTCCTTCGAACGTTGTTGGCACTCTATGGACTACTACCTTAGTCTAGGCTTTAATTAGTTGGGCCTTTTTGACTTAGAGTTGGTTTTGCTAGGTGTTAATTTGCTGTAGTAGAAATTCGCTAGAGTATCCTTCAGTTGTTGTGATAATTAGGTTGTTCTTTCTGCTAACTAACACCTTTTTAACAACAGGGGCTGTTATGCCTGCCTTCTAGAAAGCTTGATTGATTTTATTCCTAACTATTAGTGGGCTAGTTAACTGGCCTTCTTCTAGCGTTAGAAGCATCTGGTAGTGAGCGGCTGGCTTCTTTAGGTTGGCTTTCTTCCTTGGCTGTACTGTTATCTAAGGCTGGCTTGTTGTGTTCTTAGCTGCGATTGTAGCGTATAAGGCCTAAGGCTTTTAAGTTAGTTAGGAAGGAGTAGGAGCTACTATTGTAGCTGCAGTTGTGGCCTTCTTTAGTGTTTTTGTTGCCTGTTAGGAGGCGTTTGCAAGAGTAGCTGAGTGATAGGCGAGTTTGGCGGACAGTTTGTTAGCAAACTGGTTTACTACTCTGCCTTTCTTGGTGTAGTCTCTAAAGACGTCTAGTAACTCTAGGAGCTTATCTTGGGCCACATGAGATTCAGCCATAGTTGACGCTTGGAGAATCAGGTCTCTCGCCCAGTAGATGGCCTGCTCCGAGTTCTTGGCAGTTGGTTTGGGGTAGAGGAGTTCTAGAA